CTCTCCTCTCGCTCTCTACCCCCCCTCTCCTCTCGCTCTCTCTCTGTCCCCTTCTATTCCCCCCTCTTTGCCCTGGAAGATATTCAGTAAACCCTCTGAGCTATCTGACCTCTGTCTCTTTTCTCTTGTAGATGGTCAGCCTCCTGCTGATCGGGGTGGCAGCATGGGGAATCGGATTTGGACTCATTTCCAGCCTCCGAGTGGTTGGCGTTGCCGTGGTTGTCGGAATCCTCCTGTTCCTAATTGCCCTCGTCGGTCTAATCGGGGCAATTAAACATCACCAGGTGTTGCTGTTCTTTGTATCCTTTTATTGGCCTGTAAACTTTGCTCCAGCTAGACAACTCTTTTCTGTTGTTATATAAAATGTATCATGATTATCAAATTGTCATTCACGCCAAGATTTGTATTACTCCTCTGCTGCATTAAAGCTCCCTAAATGACAGTAAATGGGAGGAATAGCCGACACGGACACTGAAATGGGAACGAGTCGTGAAATATGACTTTCCTCCATCTGATTTTTTTTTATTTTAAATGAAAAAAAAAGATATTGAGCTCGACTATTGCGGTTACACACAATGCAGTTTGACCACGTGAACCACATTGACAGTGTGGTATGAGAAACTATCGGCTTATGAATGCTGCAACTCAGTCAGAATTTATTGCCCAGAGCACAGAATTTGTAATTACCCAGGTACCCAATACCCAGTTATTAGCTTGTAAATGTAGCAGTAACATCACTGTGCTTGCACATAGCTCGTGCAGTGTGCAGAGCTGTGGGAGGGACTTATCAGGCCCCACCCACTACAGCCTGCCTGCAGAAAACTACAGGAGGGGGCAGAGACCAGACCAGTCTCCCTGAACAAGGAGAGAGAGCAGCAGTGAGCGGTCTTGTCTCCTCCCCCTTCTGTAATAAAAACCAGTCACTGCTGCGCTCTCTCCTTGTGCAGGGTTACTGGTCTTGTCTCCTCCCCTCCTATAATAAAAACCAGTCACCCTGCACAAGGAGAGAGCGCAGCAGTGACCGGTCTTTATTACAGGAGGGGATGGAGACAAGACCAGTCACCCTGCACAAGGAGAGAGAGCAGCCGTGACCGGTCTTTATTACAGCAACTTGGAAGCTCCAAGTTTCACACTGGATTACTGCACAGATCTGAAATACACACAGCTCACCATGATTCAAGGAAGAATTGTACTTAGACAATATTTGCTAATCCCGGAGTTCAGCATGAAATGCAGGTCAAACTAGAGCATTACCAGAGGGTACCTATCTTGGGCAGATAGAGCAATCGTTTTTTGAAAATAATTAGGGCTGCAACAACTAATCGACATAATCGATTACAATCGATTATTGAAAAAGTTGTCAACTTTTTCAATAATCGATTAATCGGCTTCCGATCAGTTGGCCCTGTTCACGGCTCCACACACGCTGCGCGCCGCACCACCTCCTCAACTCACGCTCACCGCTGCCAGACCCGCCCGCCCGCATCCACGCTATGATTAACCGATTACCGATTAATCGAACTTAATAATCGGCTAACTAATCGATTTTGAAAATAATCGTTGGCTGCAGCTCTAAAAATAATGGAAATAACGGGTCCATTGTCTGCACCTTTTGGAAGTGTTGTATTATGTCCAGTGTGCACACCAATGGCAGCTTACATTTCTGATCTGACAGGTGCCCTTTAGAACCTCCATCAGGTCACCTTGTGGTGGGGATAGACCGATCCCAGAGATGCACTAAGAAGTGAAAGTAACTTGTTAACAGTGTATACAGTGTTGATGGCAGAGCATGTTGTGGCAAGCCCCGGGGCGTCTGTCGGAGAGGTGTGACTCTGAGTCACAATGCCGCACGATGTTTGATTACAGGGAGCAGCTGCCGGTTCTTTACTTAACGCACATAATCTGATGATAATTGACTGCAGTGGATTTGCTTGGCTACAAATATAATCCAGCGGCCCAATAGGTGACCATTACCTTTTAAATGCTTCAGTTCTCTGGACCAACATACGGCAGCGAGCTAGAGGTTTTGGGGTATTGATCCTTACTGCCTCTTACCAATGGCCAGGCTGACAACCCTACTTCTTATAGGAAGGCAGCAGCTTGGCATTCTCACCCTGACACCAAAAAGGCATGTTCAACCAGGCAAGAAACTTTGTCACAAAAAATCGATATAAGAAAAATGTATACAGTAAGACATGATGGCAAACATGGAAAAACAGATTTTGGGTCTACACTTGTGCATCCTTTTTTTTTTTAACCTGTGTAACCCAAAGGAACCCCTTAAATTTTCATCTTGGGGAACCCCTTACTAAAAAGCAATTCATTGGCGGTCATTGGGGAAAATGTCCCATACATTTGTGGTCAGCAGGAAACAGCCTGGGCTTGGTGGGAATCCAATTCACATGAGTTTGATCAGGTCCACTGAAAACTGTGACCGCCTCCTCCGGACCCAATCGGAGGTGGCATTTGCGGTGGGGGTGTTCCCAGGGCCGGATTTACTCTCTCTGCTGCCCCAAAGCCAGGTTCCTCAATGTGCCCCCCTACCTGCCAAACCCCCACCACCCCTCTATGGAGATTGACAGACCTGCAGGCTGCATACAAGTAATCTTGGCGACTTCACCGGGATCACAAAACAAGTGGCGGCTTCCCCGCTGTACATTTAGCTCTGCTTTGCCCAAAGCAGGGCTAAATGTAGAAAACTACCCGCCCAGCGCCCCGAGCTGCATGTTCCGGGCATCGGGAGATAGGAATTCCACACCCCTGATGCCCCTCTACTCCCTGCTGCCCCAATGCCGGGCCTTGTTTGGCCTTGTGGGAAATGCGGCCCTCGGTATTCCCAGCCCTTTGGTGACTTATACCTGAGGGACGGGGAATTAACCTGTCTGCAACTGATTGGGCCGGGAGGAGGGGGTGGCAGTCACAGTTTTAAGTGGACTTGGGCAAACTCAGACGAACTGGGTTCACACCAAATCCAGCCTTATCACTAGTGGTCAGTAAGAAGAATGCTTCCATAATGGTGGTCACAATAGCACCCTCAAAGACAGCTAAGAAGATCATTAGTGTCATGCTGCTGGTCTTGATGTTGGCCCTGAAACTCTGCAGGCACCATTAAATGGGAGGTCATTCAGCCACAGCTCAAGGAAGCCCTAGCAAACTTTGGAGGAACCCTAAGGTTCCATGGAACTCTGGTTGAGAATGGCTGACTTGAAGGGATGAAGACTCCTTATTGAGGTCTGGACACCCAGGGCCCAGGTGATAGAGATTTGTCTTCATCTTTACCTCCTAGTCTCCTTCTGAGGCTCATCAAATCCCCTCTAGATAAAGTCTGTGGTCCAATTTTGTGGACTTTTGTGATGCACTGAGGACGTCCCAGGCAGTTGGTCCACCCCTGCATGTGAAATATTGTTGTGGATAATTTCCCATGAACGTGTTCACCTGCTTATGGGTCTTCTGAATGATAAATTGCTTTTAAGTGATTCAGCAAATTCTCATGCGCGGAAACAGTTGTTATACATACATGGCAGGTTAAAAAGTTTAAAAAGTATTTATTGTTCTGTCGCAAATGTCACCTTTTGCAAAGGACAAAGCTATTGAGACCCACCAGACTGTATGGACAGTATGTCCACTTGTTGACTCAACAAGATCCACAGACAGATCTATTTCAGCACATACATGGGATTTTATGGGGCTTTTCTCGTGTGGGGAAAAATACATTAATTTCCTAAAGCCTCCTTATTGATATCAGACGGGCAGCTTTGCCGCTGGCAATTTGTCCCAAGATTCATCAGCGTTCAGGCCAGTGACAAATTGACACCTCAATGCCTCAGCTAGAAAGGGAACAATTCCATAAGGACACACGGGCAGCTCCTAAGCCAATCTGACGCTGTTGATTTTGAAGCTAGCACCAACATTTCCCATTGCCCGTCCTAATGTACTACTCAATCTGTTTCCGGAACATCCTTAATATTTTGTCTTCAGTACATGATCGTTCTTTTCTTGGTGTTTGTTGTCCAGTTCTCTGTCTCCTGCGCTTCGTTGGCATTAAACCAAGATCAGCAGGTATGGTTCACTTTTATATATATTTTTAATTTGAAATAAATGTATTGGGGATGCACACCGTTATTTCTGTATCGAGTAAGAGTACTGATATTTTTATTTTTTTGGTACATACTAATACCGAAAGTCGGGCCAATCAGGAAGCCGGGAAGCTTCTAATGACTCACCGCCCGGTCTCCTGATTGGTCGGGAAGCTGGTTAATCAGGAAGCCAGGCAGCGAGTCATTACCCACCCCCTGGCTTCCTGATTAGCCAGAAAGCTGGCTCCATGGCCAATCAGGAAGCCGGGAAGCTTCTAATGACTCACCGCCCGGTCTCCTGATTGGTCGGGAAGCTGGTTAATCAGGAAGCCAGGCAGCGAGTCATTACCCACCCCCTGGCTTCCTGATTAGCCAGAAAGCTGGCTCCATGGCCAATCAGGAAGCCGGGGCGGTGTGTAATGACTCGCCTCCTGATTGGTCAGGAAGCTGGGCAGCGAGTCATTACACGCCGCCCAGCTTTCTGATTACCCGTGAAGCCAGCTCCATGCTCACTCGTCACTGGGTGACAAAGTATGGATTTGGCTTTCTGGCCAAACAGGAAGCCTGGGGTGGGTAATGACTGGCCCCCTGATTAGCTGGGAAGCCGGCTCCATGCTCAATTGTCACTTGGTGATGAGGGAGCATGGAGCATACTTCCTGGCCAATCAGGAAGCCGGGGGGCTTTTAAGGACTCACCGCCGAGCCTCCTGATTGGTCGGGAAGCTGGTTAATCAGAAAGCCAGGCAGCAAGTCTTTACCTACCCCCTGGCTTCCGGATTAGCCAGAAAGCTGGCTCCATGGCCAATCAGGAAGCGGGGGGCGGTGTGTAATGACTCGCCTCCCGTCCTCCTGAATGGTCGGGAAGCTGGCCAATCAGGAAGCTGGGCAGCGAGTCATTACACGCTGGCCAGCTACCTGATTACCCAGGAAGCCAGCTCCATGCTCCCTTGTCACTGGGCGACGAAGTATGGATTTGGCTTTCTGGCCAATCAGGAAACCGGGGGGTGGGTAATGACTCGCTGCCCAGCTTCCTGATACCGGAAGTTCCGATATCGGGATAAGTATCGGGACCATTGCTATTGGTACATCCCTAAAATGTACATTTGCCTTCCCATTTTTGCTTGTGATTTCAGTAACAAGAACACTAAACTCCAAGCAAACCACTGAACACACAGATAAAATACATATGAGAGCGGTCATACATGTCAAAGGAGTTTTATTTCTGTGCATACAGCCTTTGAAATTTACACAGCTCTGCCACACAGCACAGTCCTGTCTAGCTGCACAGTAGACACTGTCGCTGCATTTCAGTAACATATACAGCTCTTGTCCCCCCC